TCAGTCATTTCCACTGAAGCTGCATCATTGCCGTATGGTTTATGCTACCATCCTTTAGCTGAAATTGTTCTCACCAAGGCTGCCAGTCTCACGCTTGCTGCTAAAGGGATTGAACACGCAATGGCTGCATCCTTCCATATGTCATGTTTTGCTTTATATGCCGTAAGGTACTAAAATGTTTTAGTTTTAGTTAACTCCAAAATATAACCCAAGGCTTTTGCAGGGGGAACTTTTCCACAAATAGCCATACGTACAAATTTTATTTATATATGATGTTGGACAATGTATTTAAAAAGTGAGAAAAGATTGGAGATACCACACACAATTTAATTCAAGATGAATCACATATCTAAGCATCAGAGCTTAGAAACTATCAAGTTTTGAGAAGAAAACATAGGAGAAAACTTTATGACCTTGTGTTAGGCAAAGAGTTCTCAGAGAGGAAACAAAGCATTAAGGATAAAAGAAAAAATTTATAAATTAGACTTCATCAAACTTAAACCCTCTGCTCACCAATGATGCTAAGAAAACGCAAAGGCAACCAACAGAGCCAGGTTTTCTACTGTAAGGGTGGGAGGTTACAGATAAGCAAGGGGAGGAGGCTAGAATGATCCATGTGGTGATGGATTAGGGTTGGAGACATCAGCATGAACTCATGATTAGCTTAATATATACAGATGTTTATATATAGAAATACTTATAGATATGTATATACATATGTTAGTCTAGACAGGTATATTCCTTCATTCCATCACCTGAGAAACTCCCTAGTAGCAAAGAGTATAACTACTGCCCAGATCTTGGTTTCTAGCACAATGCTCCAGTCAGAGGAAACAGTGCTCCTTACAGAAATGGTTGATTCCAGCAGTGGGCAAGGAAAATATAAGATGAATGTGGAGCATCTTATGGGCTTCCCAGTTGGCTCAGTGGTAAAGAATCTGCCTGCCAATGCAAGAGACACAGGTTTAATCCCTGGGTCGGGAAGATCCCCTGGAGAAGGAAATAGCAACCCACTCTAGTATTCTTGCCTGGAAAATTCCATGGACAAAGGAGACTGACGGGCTACCGTCCGCAAGAGTCGCACAGAGTCAGACATGACGGAGTGACTGAGTACACACGCATAGGGCATCTTGTAGAGTCAGAAAGTAAAGTAATACTAGAACAAACAAAAACAGACAAACGACAGACAAAAACCCTCAACAATGGGGACGTGTTCCAGGTGATGGAGGAACAAACTGAAAAGGCTACCAATGGCTGAAATTATAACAATGTGAGCAGCAAAATAAAGTTAGTATTAGCATATAACCCAAAGCACTAAGGTAAATGATTGCCTAAATAAATAACTGGGGAGAAGAGACAAATTTCCCATGTAGAATAGTTTCAAACAGTTTATGTTCATAGTTTGTATTCAAGAAGCATAACTTCCCAGTCCTTAAGTGTGGTCTGCTCATACTGCCTTCCAAGGAGTATAGTACGGAACGGGGGAAAGAGAGTAATTTTACACTGGAGAAATCTGACAAGCACTACCTCAACCAAATAATCAAGGTTGACATTAACAGTAATAAGTCATGTTGATATTATATACTCGATGTGATATGATGTGAAAGGTACTTCACCTCTATGGTATTTTTCCCAAAGCCATAATCTCAGTCCAAGTATACAGAAAACATCAGACAAATTCCTATTTAAGGGTCATTCTACAAAATACCTGACCAGTACTCCTCAAGATTGTCAAGGTTACCAAAAATAAGGAAAAGTCTGAGAAGCTGCTATAGTTTAAGGAGTCTAATGCGACATAATGACCAAATGTAATATACTATCTTGGAACAGAAAAAGACCAGTGGATAAAAACTAAGGAAATATGAATAAAATATGGACTTTAGTTAACAGACTTTAGTTAATAATAACGTATCAGTATCATTTCACTAATTGTAACAAATATACCGTACTAACATAACAGGGGGAAATGGATGTGGGGCATATGAGAACTCACCTTACTATCTTTGTAATTTTTCTGTTAATCTAAAGTGATTCTAAAATTAAAGGTTTGTTATTTTAAAAAGTTAACCTTTTATAAAAGGGAAAATTATCAAAAATACATATATCTGGAAAAAAAAAACTTGGACTCAGAATAGATAAAACTTCTATAATTGAATACTAAAAAGACAATTAAATTTTAAAAGATAACCTTCCATTTTAAAAGCATAGGCAAAAGACTCGAACAGGAATTTGAAAAAATAAGATACAAAAGTAGTCAATAAACGCATGAAGAAATGCTCGTCATCAGTAGTTCCTGGGGAAATACAAAATGAGGATGAAATACAATTTTATACCCACTAGAAGGGTTAAAATTAAACAGCGGTAACTCGGAACATTGGCAAGCATGTGGAACAATGGGAGCTCTTAAACATCATTAGTGAGGGTGTAAAATGGTACAACCACTTTTTGAAGGCTGCTTGGCAATTTTTTATAAAGTTAAGTATATCCAGAATGACTCAGAAATAGCACATCTCTATTTCCCCAAGATAAATAAAACATGCTCACAGACAGACTTGTACAAGAATGTTTATAGAAACTTTATTCATAATTAAAAGGTAGCCAAAGCAAACTTAAAAAAGAAAAATAAAGCTGGAGGCATCACACTCCTAGACTGGAAATTATACTACAAAGTTAATCAAAATAGTATGATACTGGCACAAAACCAGACACATAGATCAATCGAACAGAATAGAGAGCCCAGAAACAAATCCGTGCTTATATGGACAATTAATTTATAAGGGAGGCAAGAATGAGGAGTGTAGAACAGTAATGGGGAAATGATAGTCTCAATAAACGGTGTTGCGGAAAGTGGAAAACTACTTGCAAAAAAGTGAAATTGGGCCACTTTCTTACACCATATAAGAAAATAAACTCAGAATGGGACTCACCTGATGGTACAGTGGTTAAGATTCTGTGCTTCCAACCCAGGGGTTACAGGTTCGATTCCTGGCCAGGAGCTAAGATTCCACATGCCACATGGTGTGGCCAAAATATGGAAATAAATAAATAAACTCAGAATGGATTAAACATTTCAATGTAAAACTTGAAACCACAAAAGTCCTAGAAGAAAACATGGGTAGTAACCTTTTTGACTTTCTTCTTAGCAATGTTTTTTGAATATGTCTCCTCAGGTAAGGTTAATAAAAACAAAAAATAAAGAGGATTTCATCAAACTAAAAATCTGCAGAGTGAAAGAAACCAACAAAACAAAATGGCAACCTAATGAATGGAAGAAGATACTTGCAAAAGATAAACCAAAATGGGATTGATAGCCAAAATATATAAAGGAATCACAAGTCAACATCAAAAAAAAAAATAAATAAATAACCTGATTAAACAAGAAGATATGAATAGATATTTTTCCAAAGAAGACATACAGATGACCAATAGGCACATGAAAAGGTGTTTAGCACTCCTATCATCAGGGACATACAAATCAAAACCACAGAGAACTACCTCCTCACACCTGTTGGAATGGCTATTATCAAAAATATAAGAAATAACAAGTGTTGGCAAGTATGTAGAGAATAGGGAACACTTTTGCATTATTAGTTGAAATGTAAATTATTGTAGTCACTATGGAAAATTGTACAGAGTTCCCTCAAAAAACTAAAAATAGAACTACCATATGATCTAACAATTTCACTTATGGGTATTTATTTGAAGAAAATGAAAACATAATTTGAAAAGATAGGTATGCCTATGTTTGCTGTTGTTGTTTAGTCACTAAATCATGTCTGACTCTTAGCAATCCCATGGACTGTAGTCTGTCAGGCTCCTCTGTCCATGGGACTTTTCCAGGCAAGAATACTGAAGCGGGTTGCCATTTCCTTCTCCAGGTATCTTCCTGACCCAGGGATTGAACCCATATCTCCTGCTTGGCAGGTGAATACTTCACCACTGAGCCACCAGGGAAGCCCTACCACTATGTCCACTGCAATATGTAGCTAATTTACAATAGCCAAGATATGGAAGCAACCTAAATGTCCATTGATCATTGAGTGGGTATAGTAAGATGTGGTATACATTTGTACAATGGAATATTACTCAGCCATTAAAAAGGAATGAAATCTTGTCATTTGTGGCAACATGGATGGACCTGGAGGGTAATATGCCAAGTGAAATAAATCAGACAGAAAAACAAATACCATATAATTTCATNCACTTTCACAGCATCATCTTTTAGGATTTGAAATAGCTCAACTGGAATTCCATCATCTCCACTAGCTTTGTTCCCAGTGATGCTTCCTAAGGCCCACTTGACTTCACATTCCAGGATGTCTGGCTCTAGGTTAAGTACCATCCTATTCAGCAATAATGGCTGATTCATGCAAAGGTAGGGACGGATCTTGCAAACAATACACTGAGAGAGAGGCAAACAGGAAAGAGTACCTACCACTCCTATTTTTAACGTGACAGAAATCAGAAGAGTGATCACCTAAACACTAGATTTAGAATGAGGCTTGAGGAACTCAAAGGTTATGAAAATGCTCACATATCCTGACTGGTTGGTGGTTATACAGCTGATTACATTTAGCAAAACTCATCAAATTATACACTAAAAAAACCTATGTTTTTTATATAATTACTTTATATCTATTTTTAAAGTAGACGAGAAAAAAAGGCAAGTAACAAGTAATAAAACCAATATTGATTTAAGGAGCAATTTGGTGTGATAATAAAACTTTGTTTAAAACTTTAAGCGAAGAGAATATTTCATTAAGTTCAGCTGATTTATGTAATTAAACAAGGACATTAAAAAGCCCTGCAAATGAAAAACAACGAAAAGCCCTACAAACTCTGACTCCCCTCTCCTCCATCCGTCCTTTCTCCGATACTCGCGAGGGCCAGCTAGCTGCAGAACTGACTCAAGCGTAAGCCACGGTCAACCGCCGGCCACTCCCGCCCCTAGCCGGTCCAGCCCTCCCACCGCTCCGCCCTTCATCAATATAGCATCCCGGACACGCCCAAAGAGTCCGCTTACACCTACCCTTTGAATGGTCCGTTCACCTTTCAATCAGTCCAAATATGGCAAGGAGCGAGCCAATAGCGAGCCTCATCGAAGGGAAGAGGCGGTTACTTTTACCGGAAGTGTTGGTTAAAATACCTCCAATCAGCGGCTGTGTGCGGGAAGTTTGAATTTTTTCGATTCTTGTGATAGACGTTCCTTCTTCGGAGGCGGCGGTGGTCTTCCAGGCCCAGAGAGTTCCTTTTAGTTTGGTTGAGGTTTAACGCTAGAAACTGCCTCAGGTAGGTGGTTGCTGGGGAGCTGGAGGAGGACACGGTTCATTTCTTTCTAGAAGGCATAAAAGGGTCCGAGGACTGGCGGCAAAGCTATGAACGCTTGGGGGAGACTTCTTCTAGGACCGAATTACCTCTCCTTCCGGAAGTTGCTGACACAGTCCTCCGGAAGAGTAAATATTTGTTGCCAAGATCTGTGTAGCAGCAGCATTTCACCGCCGGGGCGTAATTGGCATTTGGCCCCAACTTTATTCCAGTAGCTCCTTACAGATTATGTGAAACGCTTGGGTTGACAATCCCTGGGCAAGCAAGACTAAGGCATTCTAGACTTTCAGGCTGGAAGAAACTCCAGTCAAGGGTGGAGAACTTAAAATGTGTGTGAAGAGCCGGGCTACGGGGCTGGGGATTTCAGCTCCACTACCTTTTAATAGTGCTTATATGGGCAGTTAATTTACCTCATCTGTATAAGGGTAGTTATACTACCTTTTAGGATTTAGATGATAATAAAATATGCCGTCAGTGTTAGTCCTTTCTCGCTTTGCTGTGTACAGTACAGTGCTATGCCGTATTTTAAATAACTAATATATAGTTTTTATTTTTTATTTAATAGCTGCTTAATATTGTTGCAGGAAAAAGCCAATTTTGACTCCAGATTGGAACTGTTTCTTTGACTTGCTTTTCCGTTGCTTTTGTTATTATAATCATGCATAATGGCCTGCCTCAGAAAATCCTACCCCTCTGCTTGACTCTTAAACTAAAATGCCTTTGTTCAGAACCCTAGACATTAGTGTACCATCTTCTTGGTCAGCTCTCCGAAATAAAGTCCTTGCCTCTACACTTCATCTCCCCTTCATTGGCCTGCTGTGCAGCAAGGAGAGCAAGTGTTCTATAGTATTTGTGAGAAGTGGTAAATCACATAGTAGAGGAGTGTTCTTAATAAAAAGCACAGTTCTTTATCGCTTCCTCTGGACTCTTAAAGGAGAATGTTTTTAGCATTCAGTTCAGTCGCTCAGTCGTTTCGAACTCTTTGTGACCCCATGGACTGCATCTTTCGAGGCTTTCCTGTCTGTCACCAACTCCCAGAGCTTGCTCAAACTCATGTCCATCAAGTTGGTGATACTGTCCAACCATCTCATCTTCTATCGTTCCCTTTTCCTCCTGACTTCAATCTTTCCCAGCATCAGGGTGTTTTCTAATGAGTCATTCAGGTCAGATGAATTCTCATATTTTATACTCTGTTGATTCCTTGAATTTTAATTTGCCTCACTTTTTATGCAGATTTTTTTTTTGTTGTTCTTCATTCTTTTTTTTTTTTTAATTAGTTGGAGGCTAATTACTTTACAACATTACAGTAGTTTTTGTTATACATTGAAATGAATTAGCCATGGATTTACATGTATTCCCCATCTTATGTGCAGTTTTCTAGGGTACTTTCTTAGTTATTCTTGTTGTTAATTTTAATTTGCCTCACTTATGCAGATTTTTATGTGCAGTTTTCTAGGGTACTTTCTTAGTTATTCTTGTTGTTGAAGAGCATTGTGTGCTTATATATTTTTAAAATTCCTAGTGACAGACTTTCCATCCTTCCCTCCCTGCCGTTTTCTTTTAAGTTGGCAAGTTGGAGAATTGGTCCTTTTTCTCCAGTTTGGCTTAGTTGTTCTCTCCACTAGCTGTTTTGGTGAGGCCCTTAGATTTTCCAGTTTCCTTTATTCTGTTCCTCAGTTGGAGCCTGGTAGGCTACAGTTGATGGGGTCGCAAAAAGTGGGACACGACTGAGTGACTTCACTCACTTTCAGTTGGATCCACAGTTTCCTAGAACCCATGACATCATCTTTCTTGTTCTCTCTTGTTTTGCTTCAGTACATTCTCAGGGATCTTTCTAAGAAAAGAGTATATGCCAAATAAACTATACGACCTCTTACATGGCTAAAAGAATTTTATTCTGTCTCACCAAAGCAAGCATATGGTTATCCTCTGCATCATTATGGTACTTCTGAAAACGCTTTTTTCTCAATCTCATATTTGACTGCCTATTTATCTTCTCTACTATATAATAGGCATCTTTTGGGTTTTTTTGTCCTCTGGGTTGAGCAAAAGTGCCAGGCTGCCTGCACTCATCATCAGGGGAAGGTTAAGGCAACTATTCTGTATACTGTCCTTCACTTACTTTTCCCTGTTTTCACCTTTACTGCATACATTTTGCAATGTTCTCTATGGTAAGCCTCGAACCTCTTTTTTATATTCCAGACCTTGGCTTCCTGGACTTCATTTCACCTGTCAAACAAGTTCCTATTCAGAACCCCAAAACAGGTTGTAGTATCTTCTCTTTTGATAACTTTCTTCCCACTCTTAAGTCACATGTTTATTCCATTTTGTATTTTAACATTTTTATTTCCGAAAGCTATGGAGTGGTACAGGAAGTGAACTGGAATCTTAAATTTTTAAAATATAAAATGAAATTCCATGTAAGTTGGTCTTTCTCTCTTTTTCCTGACAGGATGTCTTCATCACATTTTGCCAGTCGGCACAGAAAGGATTTAAGTACTGACATGATTAGAACTAAAATTGCTCATAGAAAATCACTGTCTCAGAAAGAAAACAGACATAAGGAGTATGAACGAAATAGACACTTTGGTTTGAAAGATGTCAACATTCCAACCTTGGAAAGTAGAAGTCTTCTTGAATTAGATGAGACATCTCAAGAGCTTGTTCCAGAAAAGGCCATTATCAAGCCAAGTAAGTAAAGATTGATTGTAATTTCAAATGCTTTGAAGAGTAATATCTGAGAGTATTATTACCTCAGAAGAGTGGTTTAATACCTGGTCAGGTTAAAAAAACCCTGACCAGAAGAATGGAGTTTTGAAATACCATTTTAAATAACTGTTTTCCATAATTAAGTACTGCCTATTTCAAGCAAAGACTGAACATCCCTATCTAGGCTAACGCCATTCACCTATGGAGTATTAAAACATTTTTTACCTATATGGCCTTGTAGGAACCCTAATTTCTTCTAGAGCTTAGGTAAGATAAACGTTAACAAGACAAGTTGATAAGGGTTATATAAAAATATAACTGATTATGATAATTTGCATGCTGCAACTAAAAAAAAATATGGATATGCTTGATTGAAGTATCCACAAAGTAAGGATACTAAATCAAAGAATTCATCCCTGTAGTTTACCTAGAAGGATTTGGGGTGTTTAGGAGGGGAAGAACCAGTTAAAAAAGAAAGGAATGATCTCAGCAAAAGATAAAGATAATAAAAATGAGTGTCTTAGAAGGCAAGCGATACTATAGAATGGAAGGAAGAGAACTGGAAAGTGGCATGCATTTGCAGAATGAGTCATTGGACTCCTATGTAGCTGTGTTTATATAGCAGGTACTAGGAGCTAGATTGCAGTGAAACAAAGCAAAGATGAAGTTTGAAGAAATGGCAGAGAGTGATAAAGTCTTAGAAGTTTTATAGAGAAATGAGATGTCACGTTGTTATAAGTGTTAACTGCTTCAGTTTTTTTCCAGAACCAGTGTAATGTTTGACATGCACAAGACACTCAACATATAAAGCTTAATTGCTTCTGTAAAAGGGAGGGATGGGCTAAAACTATTTCTTCTAGATTTGTCATTTTTGTGATTCCAAAAGAAAGTGAGAAAAAGTAATTGGATTAATATGTTGTAGCATTTTTGTTTTTGTTTTTGAGATGAAGTGATAGTTTATGTTTGAAGATCAAAGGAAGTGGGTTAGTCGTTGAGGGGGATAGAGTAAAGAATAGCATCTGTTAAGAATTCAGAGGAAATGAAAACTGGGTCATAGAACTGAATAAGATGGACTTTGAAGAAAGAACTGATATTTTCTGTGAGAAAAGGTGATGTTATTACCTTCTGGGTTGTCTCCTTGCTTCTACTCAGACCCTCTCAAACACTTCATTCCTCAGCCAAAATCTTTCAAATGAAATTTAACTTTGTCAGTGGGCTATTAAAGTGTCTTTTATTCCTCATTTGCAAAGGCCTAGAGGTAGGAGTGGGCCAGGTGTGTTCCAGAGAAAGTGAATAGGGAAGCATGGCTGGAGAAAGCAAGCAAGTTCCCAGAGAGCCCTGAGGGCCATCATTATAAGGACATTGACTTTTACCCTGAAATATGAAATGTTTAATGGATTAATGAGTGTTTCTCTGATTTACGACTTAAAGGCATCTCTTTGGCTACTGTGTTGAGAATAGATTGTGGGGTGGCAAGCATAGCCTCAGAGAGACCAGCTTGAAGACTGTTGCAATAATTTATTTCATGGTTGACCACAGTGGTGAAAGTGTTAGTAGATCAGTCATGTCCAGCTCTTGGCGACCCCGTGGACTATAGCCCACTAGGCTCCTCTGTCCATGGGATTCTCCAGGCAAGAATACTGGAGTGGGTTGCCATTTCCTTCTCCAGGTATCTTCCTGACTCAGGGATTGAACCTGGGTCTCCTGTATTGCAGGCAGATTCTTTACCATCTGAGCCACCAGGGAAGCCAGAGTGGCAGCAGCAAAAATAGTTGGTTGAATTCTGGATGTGTTTTGAAGGTTGAACCAATATGATTTCTTAATGGATTCAATGTAGGACTTGATAAAGAAAGAGAGGTCAAGGGAACTTCCCTGGAGGCTCAATGGTTCAAACACCACTCTTCCACTGCAGGGGGTGAGGGTTCGATCCCTGGTAAGGGAACTAAGATCCCACATGCTGAGAGGCCAAAAAGTGAAATAAATAAATAAATGTAGGTAACTAAGAAAGAGGAATCAAGATGATTTCAAAGTTTTTGGCCTGAGCACCTAAAAATATGAAGTGGCCATTTACTAAATTGTGAAAGACTGAGGGAGTCGTAAGATTCAGAGTTCAGTTTTGCATGTGTTAAACTGAAGATGCTTATTAGATGTAAAAGAGGAGATTTTGAAAAGGCAGTTGGATATCCAAGATGAGTTCAGAGGAGAAGTCTGAGCTAGATATATAAATTCAGGTGTTGCCAACTTATACATGGTATCTTGGTTTTTTGTTTGGCAGTGCCGAGTCTTACTTGTGGCACTCAATCTTCCTTGTGGCATATGGGATCTTAGATGTGTCATGTGGGCTCTAGTTCCCTGACCAAGGTTCAAACCTGCATCCCCTGCATTGCAGGACAGATTCTTTACCACTGGACTGCTAGGAAATCCCCTGGAATTTTTTTTCCGGAATATTTTCCATATACAATTGGATGAATCTGTGGATGTGGAACCCAGGAATATGGAGTCAACTGTAGAAAGGAAAGAAGTAGCATGCATTTTGTGTGCTGTTCCAGCCATATTCATGTGTGCATTGCAGGTGGGAAGTAGACATAAAGAGGCGTTTAATTGGAATTGGGATTTTGCCAGAATGAGAGAGGGGCCAAAAAGTTGAAGTAGTGATTATGATGATAAATCATGGGCTCTAAATTGGATACGAAAACACTTGATGTGAGGGAGGTGAAAGACAGTGAAAATATGATCGTAGATCAGGAGCGTGTAGGTACGTCCTGGTGGAGCCAAAGAATTGTTGGAGAGATAAGATATGGTAATCAGAGAGTGGATTTCTTAAAATTGGGCTTATGAAGGACATACAGTATTCATCGGTAATAAAGAGATCTCAAATGCCTAGTTATCCCATGAATGAATACAGGTGTGACAGGAAATTGGTCCTCTGAGCCCTTGAAGTCTCTGGCAGGGCCTGGATTGATCAGACCTGTCTCTCTTTGGCTGGTTAGCTGCATTTGACCACAAGCAGTGTGGTCTGTGAATGTTATTTTATGTGTGCCATGACACGAGAAAGGTTGAAATACTAGTCTCGGTGTGATCATGGGAATAGGTACCTGAGATACAGTGGAAGAAAGAACACCTAAGAACTGAGAAGCTAGGGTACTGGATGAGTCTTCAAGATTTGTGCAAGAGTAGCGATGGAGACAATGACAGTGAGCCACGAGCTAAAGCCTTCAAGGAAGGAGAAACAAACATGGAAACAGCTTAAGATACTCGGTAGTTAGATCTGATGATGCGAAACATAAAGCTGGGATCTTTAAATGAAAAAGAAGAACTAATCAGGAACCAACAATGAGGTCATCTCTCCTCTTTAGGTGTAGTGATACTCTAGTGTGAGAGAAAAAACAGTCAGCCTCTTGAGAGGACAACTAGGGAAGCAGTGACTTCAGGGGAGAGCCAGGTTTCAGTTCAATCAAGAACTATGCGGAACCTTCAGAGAAGTCGAAGATAAAGGCGTTTGTTGATGACTGACCACTTGATCATCTGTGCTTTTGCATATTCTGTACTCTGCCCGGGGTTTTCTTTTATTTAACAATTTTATCAAGGTCCAATTTATATACTATAAATTTCCCTCATTTTAAGTATATACCTTTTTGTAGTAAATTTACTCAGTTATGCAGTTACGTATGGATTATTTTTAATCCTTACCCAGGGGACAAACACTTACTTATTCCTCTGAACGCTTTTTAGGTATGCTATCTTAGGGAAGCATTTCCTGATCTGTCCAGATAGCTGTTGTACTGATTCTTTATTATGTGCATTCTCCTTTTTATTTCATGCTAAACTGAAACTGTGTTCCCTTGAGCCCCTCAAGGGCAGACATTTTCTTACTTATTCTTCCTACCTAAAAATGGCTCACACATGGTAGCCACTTATATTTTTCATATAAAAATGTTTCAACAATATAATAAGCATTGTATTGTAAAATGCTTCATAGTTTAAAGAAACCTAAGATTTATGTAGAAAACCTAAATTGAGCTAAAGAAACTGACAGGGAGCCCAAATATCAAAAGAAAGAAATAGTATTAGTTATCCCAAAATTCAGTGGCTTAAAACAATAAATGTTTATTCATTTACACAATTTTTGTGGGTCAGGAGTGCAGCTTGGCTAGATGGTTCTGGAGACTGCCGTCAGGATGTTATCCAAGGTGCATCTGAGGGCTTGACTGAGACTGGAGATCTGCTTCTATCATTCTGTTTGATTGTTATAAAGGATTCATTTCTAAAGTGACTCATTCATGTGACCAGCAAGTTGGTGCTGGCTTTTGGCAGAGGCCTTAGTTCTTTGTCACGTGGACATCTCTATGGGGCTTCCTGAGTCTCCTTACGACGGTTCCATGTAGCCACTGGCTTCCCCCCGGAGCAAGTGATCTAAGAGTGTATGCGTATGTGCTAAGTTGCTTCAGTTGTGTCTGTTTGTGACCCTATGGACTGTAGCCCTCAAGACTCCTCTATCCGTGGGGATTCTCCAGGCAAGAATGCTGGAGTGGGTTGCCATGCCCTCCTTCAGGGGATCTTCCCAACCCAGGATCTAACCTGCATAGTCATGGAGTTTTCTCCAGCATTTCCACAGTATTTTCTTGGTTACACAGGTCAGCCCTATTCAGATGGCAGGGGATGACAAAAGGCATGACTACCAGGAGGTGAGAATCACTGGGCATCAGCTTGGAGTCTGGCTATCACAGAAGCTAATTAATTTAAAAGTGAAGTAGTACATCCCTAGTACATAGCAAGCAATTAGATATTTGAGCAAGTGAAGTCAAAAGAAATAGGAATTTTAAAACAGAGGCGGAAATAAATTGAAGTGCTAAGGAATTAACAAGAAGTTACTAAAAGCACTTTTTAGCAACAGTTGAAGTTAGAACTTAAGCTATTTGCCTAATTTTCTATCTGAAATATTTTATATACTGTTTTTTCTTTTTTCCTACTTAGAGTCAACAAAAACTGTTGTCTTTGATCAACGAAAACAGATGCTCCAAAAATACAAAGAAGAAAAACAACTTCAAAAATTGAAAGAGCAGAGAGAGAAAGCTAAACGAGGAGTATTTAAAGTAGGTCTTTATAGACCTGATATGCCTTGTTTTCTTTTCTCAAACCAGAATGCTATGAAAGCTGAGCCAAAAAAGGTTAGTATCCTAACTTGATACAGAGAAATAGTTGCTTTTAACTGGTATTTTCTTTAAGAGATTAGATGACTAAAATAATCATTTCCCTGAGTCCCCTAGTTGATAGGGGTGGAAATGACATAATAGTAACTGTGAAGATGAAAACAGAGTCTCTTGATGTAACTGCTGGTAGGTTGAGATTGGATAAAACCAGGGGAGAGATTGGAAAAAACCTGGTAGAGTCAGGCTAAACAGTGAATGCTGTGCCAGCGTATTTGGCATTTATCTTATAGGATATGCAGAGTTAAGGGAGGCTTATAAATGAGATTGTACTGTTATCAAACTAATATTCAGGAAGATTACCTTGCCTTGAGGGTTATAGTCTAGAAAGGCAAGCTTTTATAGATGGGAAGACCAGTTGTGAATCATATATTATGACTATTCTCTATACATAGACTAGGTGAAAGGAGATAAGTGGACTGGGCCATTGATTTAAAAAGAAGAAATAGGTTTAAGACATCATTTTTTCTGAGCTATAATTGACATAAATTTCAGGTGTGCATCATAATGAATCATTATTTGTATACATTATAAGATGACCACCGTAATTAGTCTAGTTAACATCTATCACCACACATAGTTACAAAATTTTTTTTCTCGTGATGAGAACATTTAAGGTCTACTCTTGACAATGTTCAAACATACAGTATAGTATTATTAACTGTAGTCACCATGCTGAATACTATATTCCCAGGACTGACTTATTTTTAAAACTGGAAGTTTGTACTTTTTGACTGCATTCACCCTTTTTGCCCAACCTGCACCTCTGGCAACCACCAGTCTGTTCTTTTTTTTTTTTTTTTTTTTTTTTTTTTCAGTTTAATTTAATTAATTTATTTGGCTGCACTGGTCTTTAGTTATGGCACATGCAGGGTTGTTATGGCACAACATCTTTGTTGTGGCATGTGGGATCTTTAGTTGTAGCATTCCAGCTCTTACCTGTGGCATGCTAGATCTAGTTCCCCGACCAGGGATCACAGCTGGGCCCCCTGCATTGGGAACACAGAGTCTTAGCCACTGGACCCTCAGGGAAGTCCCCCCACCAGTCTGTTCTTTAGGAGGTTGGGTTTTTTTATTATTATTTGTTTAAACTTCCAAATATAAGTAAGGTCATATGGTATTTGTCTTTCTCTGGCTTATTTGTTTAAACTTCCAAATGTAAGTAAGATCATATAGTATTTGTCTTTGTCTGACTTATTTCACCTAGGATAATGCCCTCAATGTCCATTCATGTTGTCATAAAAGGCAACATTTCCTTCTTTTTTCATGGCTGAATAATATTAACACACACAAATGGACTATTAGTTTCTTTATTCACTCATCCATTGATGGACACTTAGCTATTATAAATAATGCTGCAGTGTACATGGGGGTGCATATATCTTTTTGAGTCAGTGTTTTCAAAGTACCCCAGAATTGGAAATGCTGGATCATATGGTAGTTCTAGTTTTTGAGGGTCTTCCATACTATTTCCCATAGAGGCTGCACCAATTTACATTATCAACAGTGTAGTAGGGCTCCCTTTTCTCCATATCCTCACCAACACTTACTATTTTTTGTCTTTTTGATAATGGCCTTTCTAACAGGTGTCATATAAGACATCTTAAGAGAGAAATTTAACAGGACTGGTGACCTCAAGTAAGTAGTGAGAGGTAAAGGAAGTTGAAGAGTTAAAGGTGATTGTTCTGAAGATAATAGTTTGAGCAATAATACAAGTTTTATAAAAGACTCTAGGTTTGTCCACCTCAGTTCAACTAACTCAAATTCATGTTTATTTTATGATTGAGTAATATTTCATTGTATATAGGTACCATAACTTCTTAATCCATTCATCTGTCGATGGACATCTAGGTTGCTTTCATGTCCTGGCTGTTGTAATTAAGTGCTTCAGTGAATACTGGGGTACATGTGCCTTTCTGAATTACAGTTTTCTCAGGGTATATGCCCAGTAGGGGGATTGCTAGAAAAATGATACAGATGAACCTATTTTCAGGGCAGGAATAGAGATGCAGATGTAGAGAACAGACTTGTGGACACAGCAAGGGAAGAAGGGGGGATGAATTGAGAGAGGAGCGCTGAAACATATGCATTACCATGTATAAAATAGATAGCTAGTAGGAAGTTGCTGTGTAACACAGGGAGCTCAGCCTGGTGCTCTGTGATATACTAGGGGGTGGACAGGAGGGTGGGGTGGGGGGAGGCTCAAGAGGAAGGGGATATACATACATGTATAGCTGATTCATGTTGTATGGCAGAAACCAACACATCAATGTAAAGCAGTTACCTTCTGATTAAAAATACATTTTAAAGAAAGAATGTGTGGGAAAAAAATAATATTACAAACTTTGCTGCTGCTAAAAGAGATGAGGAAGGCAAGAAAAGGAACAAGCTTAAGTGGGTGAATATTAATAACCTTTTTAAAAAATCCTATTTGGAAATCAGGCTAGAGACTCATGCTAAGATGTGGATTTAGGGTGTGATATTAGGAGTTAAGTTAATTTAATGTGATATTAAGTTGTAGGACTAAATGAAACCACTCAGTAAGAATATGTACAATTATCTGAGTGAGGTCTAGAGAACAGCTTCAGGTGGGCAGTGATAGGTTGAAAAGGACTGATCAGATGACAAGAGAATAAATGCTAAAGGGAAGGGTGATGTAAAGAGAATGATTAGTAAGTCAAGGATGAAGTTTGACATATACCCCAGTGTTCATTGCAGCACTATTTACAATAGCCAGGAAGCAACTTAGATGTCCATTGACAGATGAATGGATAAAGAAAATGTGGTACATGTATATACAATGAAATATTACTCAGCCATAAAAAGGGGTGGATTTGAGTCAGTGGTAGTGAGGTAACAAGAGCCTGTTATACAGAATGAAGTAAGTCAGAAAGAGAAAACAAATATATTAATGCATTTATATGGAATCTAGAAAAATGGTACCCATTTGCTGGGAAGGATTGGAGATCCAGATGTAGAGAACAGACTTGTGGACACAGCGGGGGAAGGAGAGGGGAAGGTGAATTGAGAAAGTAGCCCTGACATAAATACACTATCACATGAAAGCAGAGAACTGGTGGGAAGTTGCTGTATAACCCAGGGAGCCCAGCCAGGCGCCCTGTGATGGCCTGGAGGGGGTGGCGTGGGGGTAGAGAAGGGAGCCTCATGAGGGAGAGGAGATGTATATATATATGTATATGTATATATATATAATTATTGTTATATGGCAGAAACCAACAACATTTTAAAGCAATTTCCTCCAATTAAAAAGTAAATTTAAAACTTTAAGAAAAAAAGATGAAATTTGAACAGATCAGTTGGACTGTAGATTAGGTAGTCTGGTGCTTTGCAATTTAAAGATACATATAAATTGATCTCATTGACTATATACTCATTCCTGATTCAATTAAGAATTGAATAATATAAAGCCCCAAGATACTGCTTCTTTTTTAGGCCTCATGAATCTCAATAATTCATTTAACAGATCTTTGGTTATTTACTCTGTATGATCTTAGGATAATGTAGAAGAGACCAAAATTAATAGAATGTAGTTCAAGTGGAAAGATATAGATAAATATGTTCTACATATTAGAGGAAGGAGAGACTGTTTGCATTGGAGGAACATCAGAGAAGACATCTTGGAAGGGATTAGACTTAAGCTGTCTTTTCAAGAATGTATAGGATGCCATTCATTGGTCTCGCAGTAGGAAATGGCACCCCACTCCAGTACTCTTGCCTGGAAAATCCCATGGACGGAGGAGCCTGGTAGGCTGCAGTCCATGGGGTTGCTAAGAGTCTGCATTGGAGAAGGCAATGGCAACCCACTCCAGTGTTCTTGCCTGGAGAATCCCAGGGACGGGGGAGCCTGGTGGGCTGCTGTCTATGGGGTCGCACAGAGTCGGACATGTGACTTAGCAGCAGCAGCATTCATTGATCTATACTGTACACAAATTTTAAAATATGATAAGAAATATGTGTAAGAGGAACAAGAGACCCATCATTGTGTTAAATAGTATGATTCAGTGAGGAGTCAATAATTGTTCTTCATTTTGTTCAGGCAATAGCCATTGCTGAGTTTTAATCCCTTTAAGTACTGTTAAGAAAAGCCTAATTTCTTTAGCACTAGGTTTTCATTGAGATTTGGAGAAGAAAAATGACTTCTCATCTAGAGAAGTCTGATTATGCTTCTTAAGAAATTTTATAGAGTTGATAAATACCTTATTTTTTAATCAATCTTCTCAATTTTTTCCCACATTTTTTGATCAGGTCTCCATTTTCTTACTGACAATGAACAGCTGTGTAATCATGAGATTTGAAGGCAAATTGTCAAAGCTAGGGGAAGTAAGCTGTACAGTACAGCTGTACAGTTTCTTTTCATAAACAGAAAAAAAAGATCCTAATACTCAAGTTTGTTCGTCTGTGTGCTTGTCGCTCAGCTGTGTGTGACTCTTTGTGACCCCATAGATTGTCATCCGCCAGGCTCCTCTGTCCATGGAATTTTCCAGATAAGAACACTGTAGCAAGTTGCCATTTCCTACTCCAGGGAATCTTCCCAGTTTGTTCATCTACCCCATTCCAAATATGTCCAGCTAATCATACTAATGAGGATCCTAATAACTTTGAAATTTCTTCTCTTTCCTCATTGAAAAATATGAGTAAGTTTTGAAGCTATTAAATATATTTTAAATCAAACCAGTACTAGAAAAAATAGTAATTTAGGGAGTTCCCTGGCAGTCCAGAGGTTAGAACTTGGTGCTTTCACTGCTGGGGCTAGGATACAATCCATTTTCAGGGAGCTAAGTTCCCGCAAGCTGTGCAGCATGGCCAAAAAACCCCACAAAAGTTAAAAAAAAAAACAACATTAAGTTAGCAAGTATCTTTTAGCCATAAATGATTAATATAAAAATATAAATTTAAAATGTAAATTTTTTTATTTATAATTTTAAAATGAGAACTTTGGACTTCCCTGGCAGTCCAGGGATTAGGACCCCAAGCTTCCAATTCAGGAGGTGAGAGTTTGATCCCTGGTCAGGGAACTAAGATCCCACATGGCATGCTGTGCAGCTGCTCAAAAATAAATAAATAAAATGGGAGCTTTATTTCATGAGACATGGAAATAAATTTTGCAGTTTATTTAATATATTTTTTAAACTTTATCTCCTTTTGACTGTTTTAAGGCCGTTCCATCTTAGAACTTGGTGCTTTCACTGCTGAGGCTAGGATACAATCCCTTTTCAGGGAGCTAAGTTCCTGCAAGCTGTGCAGCATGGCCAAAAAACCCCACAAAAGTTAAAAAAAAACCAAAAAACAGTAAGTTAGCAAGTATCTTTTAGCCATAAATGATTAATATAAAAGTATAAATTTAAAAGGTAAATATTTTTTATTTATAATTTTAAAATGAGAACTTTGGACTTCCCTGGCAGTCCAGGTATTAAGACCCCAAGCTTCCAATTCAGGAGGTAAGAGTTTGATCCCTGGTCAGGGAACTAAGATCCCACATGGCATGCTGTGCAGCTGCTCAAAAATAAATAAATAAAATGGGAGTTTTATTTCATGAGACATGGAAATAAATTTTGCAGTTTATTTAATATATTTTTTAAACTTTATCTCCTTTTGACTGTTTTAAGGCCGTTCCATCTTCTGTACGGATTACAAGGTCAAAGGCCAGAGACCAAATGGAGCTGACTAAGGTACAGTTGGTAGTTTAGTAGGTCACTGTTACTAAAATGACAAATTGTACTTTTTTTCTGAGTAAGTAAATTTATTTTTAATTTAATATCAGCTTTAAGCAATAGTGATTATTTTACTAGAGTTAATAGTACCAGACTAAATGCTACTGTATGGTGACAGCAGATTTGGCTACATGCCAAGGAAACAGTCACTTAAAATATTTTGCACAGACATCCTTTATGAGATCTATACTAAACTCTGTGACACATTCTTTTTTGTTTATTTACTGGGCTTTTATTATGTATCCCATGTCACCATGAAGCACAGATAGAAATATAAAGCACATAGGGTGAGTTTTATAAATTTATGGGTCTTCAAAACACTGTTAGGGATAAAGTTACTATGAGAATTACTAAAGTCAAGTCAAGTGGGCAAGGAGAAAAACAGTGTGCTTCTTTGTCAGGTGATGAAGCTGTTTCATGTAGTTACTGAATCTGAGTGACTGTCACGTTCCTCTAGGCTCTAGGATATAATAGTGAATAAAACAAACAAAATTTCCTGTTTTCAAGGACTTTACATAAGACATAGTGTTAAAAAAAAAAAGAACCATGAGGTGTGTCAGATGGTCAAAAGTATTATGGGGGAGATGAAAGAAAAGAAAGAATGGAAATGGAGAATTTTGAAGTAGGTGTAGGGTAGAATTTTGATCATGCCTCACTGAGATGGTGGNAAAAAAAAAAGAACCATGAGGTGTGTCAGATGGTCAAAAGTATTATGGGGGAGATGAAAGAAAAGAAAGAATGGAAATGGAGAATTTTGAAGTAGGTGTAGGGTAGAATTTTGATCATGCCTCACTGAGATGGTGGCAGTTGAAATGCAGATTTTCAAGAAGTAGAAGAGTGAGTTGTGGGGAAGAGCTTTCTTCCAGGGGAGGAATTTTCTAGATAAAAAGATACCTGTTGTGTTTAAGGAGTCTCAGAAGATTATAGTCAGTTATTTTTTAAATAGGTTTTCTAAATTCTGGGATTCTGAAAAAGTTTGTTAGGAAATTTATGTAATGGAAAACTTGTTTCTTCATCTCATTTAGGGTAGTGGATATTTTGCTGGTTCATTTACAGTATCAGATTTCAAATGAGGTGTCAGTTTACACCTTAAAAATGTGGTTTGGTTCATTATGCAATTAAATCACCTAATTAATACCTTATCTTTTAAATAGAGTGATAATGGGATTGATGTTCGAGCAAGCCGACCTGATCAAAGGCAGACTTCTGAAAAGAAAGTGTTGGACAAAGAGAAAAAAGGTAGAAGTATTAGCAATTTTTGTAAGTTCTGATATTGCCACAATAATTTAAAACCACCAAAAGCATTCGGTTTTATTTTTTTTCTCACAGCTGTACAACCTGTAATGCTGCCAGTGAGAATGACTCGATCATCTACTCAAGCAGCAAAGCAGATTGTCAAAGAAATCCGGTCTACAGCAGCAAGAAAGCCAGAGACAAGGGCCATTAATGGTAAGAACAATTTCTTGATCAGTGACTGAACTAGGATTATGTTTTGATCCTTGAGGATTTTTGTGTTCAGTTTTTAAGATCATTATATACTTCTTTGAGTAGGACAGGAGGAAATGGGAGATTCTAACTCCTGAAGGCAGGTTTTGTGCCCTGATAATCCTGTTAGCACACAGTGGGTGCTCAAATGTTGAAATGCCGAATTGGTGTAAGCAGTGATTCAAAGTGAAAAATTAATGGCCCCAATAAATTACAGTCCATCATTTGGTGGATTGCAGTGTAATCATTTAAGAACAAGCTATGAAAAAGCACTTAATGACATGGTTAATGATATTAAGTGGGCAAAGAGAAACAGGTAAAATCCTGAACAGTATGATTGAAATTCTGTAATGAAATATGTATGTGAATGTGAACTTTGGAAAATCATATTCTGCAGTGTCAACAGTGATTACCACTGAGTAATGTAAACTTTAATAAAATTTTTGTTTTTGTGCTTTTTACAATTTTTTCTAATTTTCTGTAATAAATATGTATTTTATATTTAGAGGCAAAAGGTAAAATACCTTAACACCTTTTGTTTTGTTTTGAAAACAGATGGCCTACACTTGAAACAGGATATTTCATCTCTTTTTATCCTATTTTCTAATATGATTTTTGATCATAACCTCCTTTAAGCTATACATTTCTATTAAGCCTTTTTTCCTTTCCCAAATTACCTAGTACTTTTTTTTTTTAAACTTGTACTTTTAATGCAGCATTTTTTTATCTAGTCAAAATGGGTGTCTTATTTCACTTTTATTTTAGGTAATGAAGCAGACAGAAAGGCACCAAATCAAGGAAAACCTGCCAAAAAGATAGGAACAAAACCTGACAAGGTAGAGTATAAACATCTGTTTATCACTAGATACTTTGAAAATCTCATTGCTACTTTCATAAAATGGAAATTAGGCATATAGAACTGCTTCAAGAAGTTGACTTGCCTTGTGTCTTAAAACCTCTTGAACCATAAAGAAGCATCAGGAGGTTTTACTCGTTTTTCAGGTGTCTTATCCTCAGAGTTTTATAGTTAGAGAAAGCATAATTTGGTTAACAGGAAATAGAGAAAAGTGATAGAAACACAGCTGACAGAAACTTTCATGTGGGAACTCGCTAGGAGAGGATGGAGTAGGGTGAAATGTATTGACTTTGGATTCACTTAGGCCTGAGTCTGAATATTGTCCTATTAGCTATATAACCTTGGGCAAGCTATGAATTTGTTTTCCCATGTCCAGTACATAATACCTACAAAAGAGTAGTTTTAAGAACGAAATACTCTAATGTTTCTGACAGTGTCTAGCATAGTACCTTATAGGGTCTTCAGAAAAGAGTCACATTTTGAGGCCCCAATGCCTTGGTTTATAATCAATGCTATAGTTCCTTAACCTTAAAAAAAAAGAAAGTTATACCGAAGTATAAGAAATGTGGCTATGTTGTACAGCAGAAACTAATACAGCATTGTAAAGTAATTATACTCCAGTTAAAAATTTAAAAATTAAAAAAAAATGTGGCTAGATTCTTAACTGAAAATTAAAAATCAGAAATGTAAAATCCTCTAAAAATTTTGTTTGTACGGGTGGGTGAAATGTGTAAAGGTTGTCAAAAGTTACAAAGTAAATACGGTCTGGGTATGTAATAACATGGTGACTATGGTTAATAATGCTGTGTTGTATATTTGAAAGTTGCTAAGAGGATAGGTCATAAAATTATCATCATAAGAAAAGAAATTGTAACTATGTGTGGTGACAGATGTTCATAGACTTATTGTCTAGATCACTTTGCAATACATACAAATATCAAATCACTATGTTGCATGCCTAAAACTAGTATCAGGTTATTTTTACAAAAAATCAAATAATTAAGTTGACAAAATAAGCATCACATTATATTTGGTTAATCTCACTATGTCACATTGAAAGATAATTTTCTCATAGGATAAGTTTATTTATAATCAAGGTTATTGTAAAAGAGGATTTGTTCCTTGACAATAATAGTCATCCAATAAACACTGGATTTCTGATTCTCAAATCATTGTCATTATCAACATAATTTAAATAAAAAGATGGGTATTTGTTAGTTGGGTAATTTTTCCACCTTAGTTTTCATATATTTTAATTTGCCATAATACCTAAAATCTATTATTTAGTCTTTTTAATGAGGATTGGTTCTCTCTCTCTGGATCATAACAATGGTTTAGTTAGCTGGTCTACTGATTTCATATTTACATTTAACTGTATTTATTTTTCTTTGTCAAATTACATACATGGGACACATATCTCAACTCTAATATTTTCAGACCTGTAAAAATTGGCTTGAATATATCCCCAGGAGAGAGATTCTCACTCTATTCTGTTTCCCTCCATCTAGGTCATTTCTTTTAAAGTTGATAATGAAGAAAATACTTTGGATTCACAAACCAGGGCAACAAATGGAATGAATCCAGATGGAGTCTTATCAAAAATGGAAAATTTATCTAAGACAAACAGTGCAAAAATGAAAGGGAAGAATTCCTTTGCACCTAAAGATTTTATATTTCAGCCACTAGATGGTCTGAAGACCTATCAAGTAACACCTATGACTCCCAGAAGTGCCAATGCTTTCTTGACACCCAGTTATACCTGGACCCCGTTAAACACAGAAGTGTAAGAATTTAAAGTTAATAATGAATTCTTTGCTAAGATGGTTAACAAGCACCTTTCCTAGATTTGTCCTGTGCTTTTTAAAGGTTAATGTTTAGTTAGTAAATTATGTATATGTATTTATATTATAAATCATGAAAATTTGGTCTTTTAAAAAAATTCTTCAAAAGGGTACAGTAATGTACTAGACAGTTTTACCATTTCCTATACATTGTTTTTATCAGTATTTTCATGGTACTCTTTGTGGGGTTTTTTTGCTTTTAATACATGATCTTTTTATAAAGTCTTAGAAATAAATTTTTAGAAGAAAGAAACTGTAATATTGTAGCTCAGAAATGGTTTGGGGTTTTTTGTCTTTTTTTACTTTAGAAAAATTACCTGTAAAGACAAAAATAATTAACTTGCAAAGTGAGGGAAAATCAGTTGGAATCTTTAATAGAAACAGCATGGTTGTTTTGCAAAGACTGGCTGGCAACAAATTTACTAGAAACTGCTCAGCAGCATGCAAGACTATAGAGTGCTTATGTTCCATGAAGAGATCTTTGTAATCTTTGGATCTCATAATTAGTAAAGACAGACGTTCCCACTATAGGTGTTTAAATGTGTCCAGAAAAGACACATTTAAAAAAATTAGAAATATATTTCTATTTAATCTCAGATTTTTAAAAATCAACATCATTTTGAAATCCTTCATATGAGGGTCATGTTTTAAGAAGTATATTTTTACTATTGTTTTTAGTGATAAGACTGAAGCAACAAAAGAAATCTTGGCACAAAAATGTAAAACTTTCTCTGCCAAAACAGTACCTCAAGATTCAAGTAAATCACAGTGTCCTTTGAGTTCTCTAACAGTTTGGAGTAAAGGTATTGAATTTTAATTAATTTTTTACTTGCTTTTCTGAATTGTGATTTATCAGGTTTATTAGCCCTTTTCAACATATAGCCCAGGAATGTGATCTCAGGGTCAGGAAAGATGGGAAGACATGGGGGAAAATATCTGGAGAGAGAGAGTTGGAATGAGGAGTACAGACTGAGAAAATAAATGTGAGTTTGAAGAGATGAATATTGGGAGGCACTTTAGAGATATGTGGTGAATGGTATCTTTAAGTCAGAGATAAAATTTGAAAATTCACATTGAAAAAATTGTAAGATTTAAACAGATTTGTCTTATGGGGAACATCATTTTGTGAGTGGCTGCTTTGAAATTTATATGTAATATTTTCTTTAATCTATAGAACATGTCTCAAATAAAAATGAAACTACTAATGAAAATTCAAATAGCCTTTCAGTAAAAGAAGAAGTCCCATCACTTGAAGTAAATGAAGATCAGTTATCTCAGCCACAACATGATGTGCCATATTTCAGGTTTGTCCATTTGTTCTAAGTATAAGAATTTTGTATTCATGTGTAGACAATTAAATCCAGGATTAAACTATTTTTAGCCTGAATGTAATAGATGAATTGGGGGAAACTGAATTCCGGTGATTTTCATTTATCTTTTGAATTTTAATAATTTTTTTTTCACTGACTAGTTCCCAGTTCAAAAGGTAGTAAAAGATACAAGTGAGAAGTTTTTTTCCCAAATCTGTCTCACAGGGGATAGTTCGAACCCTCCACAGAGGCAAGTGTTGTTCATTTCTTGTGAATACTTCCAGAGTTAGATAATGCATATGTAGAATAACAAACATTTTTTCTTTTTTGTAATATAAACAATAGCATGCTGTTTTGTTTCATGTAGTGTTAACTGTAACAGACATTCCATTTTAGTACTTAAAAAGATTTCTCATGTTACTTAGAGTGTGTGTTTTCCTTTTTTTTTAGTGTGTGTTTTCTAAAGGTCACATAGTATCCAATAATGCGGATATACCATAATTTACTAAATAAGTCCCTGTTGCTGATTATTTACATTGGGTTCAATCTAGTACTATTATAATCAAGGCTGCAAAGAACAACCTTGTATATATTTCAGTTCTCTCATGTGCAAATATATGAGGACCTCAGTTTGCATTCCCTCCAGCATGGTATGAGAGTTCCTACTTTCTCATACCTCCCCACCCCCCAAAGAACCAAATTACAGTTTATTTAAAAAAAAAAATGGATAAGAGGGTCAGTGGCCCATCAACTCGTGAGATAGGATTATGTTTCTCTAACTCTGAATTGAAAATTACGTTCCTGTTTGGGGAACTTAAACATGTCACCTAAATGCCTTGGAAACATATCAGAGGCGTGCATTTTGAGAAAGGCCTTTATATTCCACATCATACAGAAAATTATTCTACAATTTTTTGATGAATATAGCAAGAAAATTCCCATACCATTTCCAATACAATATTAACAATTTTTGAACTTTACCGATCAAATAAATAAAAATGTTATCTTACTCTAGTTTTATTTATTTTTTATTTATTTTCCTTTTTTTGGCATGAGATCTTAGTTCCCTGACCAGGGATCAAACCATCAGAGTCTTAAGCACTGAGACGCCAGGCAACTCCCTTTCCTCTTGTTTTAATAGTCATTCTTTCTCTCATGAATGAGTATCTTTTTATATGTTTGGGAACCACTTCAGTTGTTTTTAGAGTATAATGTTTTGGTATTGTAAGGTCTTTTAGAGGTTAACTAGTCTACTGTGTTGTTCAGCTGAAACATTGAGATGATAAGCAATTTACCCAACTAAATAATGTCAGATCTAAGTCAGGTCTCCTCTCATTAATTAAGCTGTTCTCTGCTGCCATTGATTTAAACACCTAAGTTTGTCTTCTAAGAAAAACTCTCCTCAGTTTTCCTGCTCAGATGTTTTTGTAAAGAAGCATACCAAATTTACCTTAAGCCAGGGTTCCTTAACATTGGCGCTATTGACATTTTAGGCTGCCTAACTCCTGTTGTGGGGTCTTCTGCATTATAGATTGTTTTGTAGCATCCCTGGCCAGCAGCACTCCTCTAGTTCATGATTATCAAAAATGATTCTAGAGAGTGCCAAATGCTGCCTGGTAGGAAAAACTGACCCCACTTGAGAATGCCACTGTCTTTGGATAAGCAAAGCCAAGTAGAATCTGTAAGGCCTTATCACTGTAATTTGAGACTTAACAGCTTTTAGCTTCATCTTATTCACTCCTGGCAATTGGGTTGGTCATAGTTCCACGGAAAATAACTTAAGAGCAGAACTAAGGAATGTCTAATTCTTCTTCTCAGCATTTGAAAATAAGAACAGAAATAACTGGAAATGTTAGCTTGAAAAATGGGCTCTTAGCATTAACCATCCACTTAAGTTTTAGGTGTAGAAGGATGGACATAGAATATTAATGTGTATTCATGGATTTTAATATATCAGTTCATAAAACAGCTAAGCATCAGCTCTGGGGAATCAATGTTGTGTAAGTGTCATAATGCTAATGTATGTCATCATTGTAGAAATATTCTCCGGTCAGAAACTGAAAAGTTAACTTCACACTGCCTTGAGTGGGACAGAAAACTTGACTTGGACATTCCAGATGATGGTGAGAGAACACTTATATTTTTTTAATGTCTTAGCTTTGTTTATTTTAATATGGTTGCATTTACCTGAAATATAAAAATCTAGTGTTGTCCAACTTTATAGTTTCATTGTTATTCAAAATAGCAAGAATTTTTCATATGACATATGAAATACATCTGACATACATATTTCATATGTATGTTCACTAATATCTCTGCTAAAATGGTACCTAACGTAAAAGACGTAAGTAGTTAGATTATTGACTATCATTCCTAAGAGTTAGACATTTGCCAATTTTATTATTAAATTTTTTACTGTGATTCCATGAATGACAACTATGTCTGATATTGCTTAATTAAACAAAAATATTTTTTGAATGAAGATTGCTCAAATCAATATGGATCAAATTTTCTGAAAAATTCCATAATCTTGCCTATTCAGGAAAGCTGTTTGGAAAAAAAAGTCATTTGTGTGCTGCCAGCTCAAAGTCCTTAGATACTGATGTTGTTTAAGATATTGATGTAAGTTGTTTAAGGTTGAATTCTTATAAAATACAAGGAGAGGTAGAACGCTTTGCTGTGTGGTTGTTGAGTATGAGAATGTATATTGCTAATTTTTAGCAGGAATTGAAACAGATAGTAAATGCTCTGTATTTGTATGACAAAGTTTTGTAGTAGTTATTTTTTGTTTTGCTATAAAGTAAGAATTTGATTTTTTAACTGTAGGATATTTGGAATGAGGTCACCTGATCAGCTGGTTGGATTGCAATAAAGATCTTGTTTTGTCGTTTAACTTTTAAAAACCTTGTATTTCCTCTAGCTAAAGATCTTATTCGCACAGCAGTTGGTCAAACAAGACTCCTTATGAAAGAAAGGTTTAAACAATTTGAAGGACTTGTGGACAATTGTGAATATAAACGAGGTGAAAAGGAGACTACTTGTACAGATCTGGATGGATTTTGGGATATGGTTAATTTTCAGGTGTGTGGTCAAATATTTTGAATATATTAACTTTGAGTCTTTCTTTTTTTTTTTATGAGTTAACAGTAATATGTGCTCAGTTGCTAAGTCATGTCTGACTCTTTGCAACCCCATGAACTGTAGCCTGCCAGGCTCCTCGGTCCATGGCATTTCCCAGGCAAGAATACTGGAGTGGGTTGCCATTTCCTCCTCTGGAGGATCTTGTTGACCCAAGAATCAAACCCGAGTCTCCTACAGCTCCTGCACTGCAGGCAGACTTTTTACCACTGAGCCACTGGAGAAGCCCCTGGCAGTATATTAAAGGGTTGGTAGTAGCTTCTAGGCCTAACCTGGTGGCTCAGTGGTTAAGTATCCACCTGCCAGTGCAGGAGACACGGATTCAGTCCCTGAGCTGGGAGATCCCACATGCCTTGGAGCAACTAAGCCCATGTGCCACAGCTATTGAGCCTGTGCTCTAGGGCCTGGGAGCCCCAACTACTGAGCCCATGTGCCCCAACTTCTGCAGCTATTCTGCCTTAGAGCCCATGAACCTCAACAAGAGAAGCCACTGCAATGAGAAGCCTTCACACCACAACTAGATAGTAGCCTCTGCTTGCCACAACTAGAGAAAAACCTGTGTGGCAACGAGGATCCAGCACAGCCAAAAATAAATAAAGTTAAGAACAAAGAAAAGTAGCTTCTTATGTACCTGTAATATTATTGGGTTGGTGCAAACATAATTGTGGTTTTTCTGTTGTTGAAATTTGCTGTTTGATATCAGAATACATTCTTAATAAATATGATTAAGTTATACATCATTTTTTAAAAATATGCATCATTTTTAATGCAGATTTCTCACTTTATGTTTTTTCCTGACTTATTACTTGCTGTTTATTTTATATTTATTTTTGACTATGGAGACGATGTTTGACAAAAAGTGAATTTGAGTGATTTATTTTTTATTCAAATTCAAAATGGGTCATTAAGCAGTGGAGACAACTCACAACATCAACAATGCGTTTGGCCCCAGAGACTACTAATGAATGTACAGTGCAGTGGTGGTTCAAGAAGTTTTGCAAAGGAGACAGAGCCTTGAAGATGAGGAGCACAGTGGCCAGCCATTGGAAGTTGACAAGAACCAAATGAGAGCAATCATCAAAGCTGATTCTCTTACAACTACAGGAGAAGTTGCTAAAGAACTCAATGATGACCGTCCTCTGGTTGTTTGGCATTTGAAGCATATTGGAAAGGTGAAAAAGCTCAGTAAGTGGGTACCTCAATAGCTGACCACCAATCAAAAATATCATCGTTTTGAAGTGTTGTGTTCTCTTAGAATGCTATGCAGTGATGAACCATTTCTCAACCAGATTGTGACATGCAACCAAAAGTGGATTTTATACAACAACTGGTGATAACCAGCTCAGTGGTTGGACCAAGAAGTTCCAAAGCACTTCCCAAAGCCAAACTCGTACATGGTCACTGTTTGGTGGTCTACTGCTGGTCTGATCCACTACAGCTTTCTGAATCCTGGCAAAACCATTACATCTGAGAAGTATGCTCAGCAAATTGATGAGATGCACCAAAAACTGCAATGCCTGCCGCTGTCATTGGTCAACAGAAAGGGCCCAGTTCTTCTCCACAACAAAGCCCGACCATACATTGCACAACCAGTGCTTCAAAAGTTGAACAAGTTGGACTATGGAGTTTTGCCTCATCCACCATATTAGCCTGACTTTGTAGTCATCTACGGATGTGAGAGTTGAACCATAAAGAAGGCTGAATGTTGAAGAATTTCAAATTGTGGTACTAGAGAAGACTCTTGAGAGTCCCTTGGACAGCAAGAAGATCAAACCAGTCAATTCTAAAGGAAATCAACACTGAATATTCATTGGAAGGACTGATACTGAAGCTAAAACTCCAATACTTTGGCCATCTTATTAGAAAGGTGGCCAAAGACCTGACTTATTAGAAAAGACCCTGATGCTGGGAAAGATTGAAGGCAGGAGGAGAAGGGGAGAATAGAGGATGGAGATGGTTGGATGGCATCACAAGTTATATTCAACTGTTGAATAATCTATAATGATTCTACATGTGAGAGAATGAAATCTAGTCTTTAGTAGTTGAGTTCATGTAGCAGTTACTGAGTTCCTTTGTGTGCTAGACATTGTACTAGGAGTTGATAAAATAAGGCACATTTTCTGCCCCAGAGGAATTCCAATCTAATGTAAAAAGTGCTATGAGAGAGGGAATCACTAGGAAGATTAGTAAAGGCATGGGAGGAGATGACAGTTTCCAGCTTCTTGGGCATGTTTTAGAAATAAGTATATAAAACACCATTTCAAGAACCTACAGCCAACAACTATTAAACATTTCAAGAAAGCCTCAAACCTGAAAGAAAGAAGCCAAGAAAAACATAAGAAAGGTATTTGGATGGAGGAAGTGGACCAATCTAGGAAGTATAGTATCCAAATAATAGGGATTCCAGAAAAAGAGTACAGAAAAAATGGGAAATCAATAAAGTAGAACTGGAAGACATGAATTCCAGATTGAAGGTGCCTACTGAGTGCCCGACACTGTGAATCAGAATAGACCCACACCAGCGTACTTCATTAAGTGTAACTGTATAACTCTTGTGATGAAGAGAAAACTCTAGAAGCTTCCAGAGAGAAAACAAGTTTCATATAAAGGGTCAAAGATCAGAATAGCCTTGGATTTCTCAACTGTAACATATAAAACTGGGAAAACAATGCCCTCAAAATTCTAAAGGAGATAATTTTCCAACCTGGAGTTCTGTAGCCAGCCAATCAAGTGGATGGGCATTCTCCAAGCACAACAGTCTCAGATACTACCTCTGAAGCACTCTTTTTCAGGAAGCTAAATGAGAATGTGGTCATGTATGGCTGTGAGAGTTGGACTATAAAGAAAGCTGAGCGCCGAAAAATTGATGCCTTGAACTGTGGTATTGGAGAAGACTCTTGAGAGTCCCTTGGACTGCAAGGAGATCCAACCAGTCCATCCTAAAGGAGATCAGTCTTGGGTGTTCATTGGAAGGACTGATGCTGAAGCTGAAACTCCAATACTTTGGCCACCTCATGCGAAGAGTTGACTCGTTGGAAAAGACCTTGATTCTGGGAAAGTTTTAGGGCCAGAGGAGAAGGGGACGACAGAGGATGAGATGACTGGATGGCATCACCGACTCGATGGGCATGGGTTTGAGTAAACTCCAGGAGTTGGTGATGGACAGGGAGGCCTGGCGTGCTGCAATTCATGGGGTCGCAAAGAGTCGGACACGACTGAGTGACTGAACTGAACTGAAATGAGCAAGTATCTCACAAAAATGAGGGAGTGAGCCAAGAATGGGGGAGAAGATGAGTTTGATCCCCAGAAAGAGACCAAGAGAATTGAGGCCGGGGGAAGCCAAGAATGTGTGCAGCAAGCTTAGGAAGTAGCAGTTCCAAGCAGAGCAGGGGGTCTTAGGCTCTGCCATACCTGATTCTGGAAAGTGAAACTGAGTAAAATACTGATTTGTTTTTTAAATTGCATTCAGAGGAGATTTATACTTACTGTGCAGAGTTTAGAATGAATCAATGATAAATATCATACATGAACAACTAAGCAAGTAAAAAGCAAAACAAGAGGACTTCCCTGGTGGTCCAGTGGCTGGGACTCTGTGCTCCAATGCAGGGGGCCCAGGTTCGGTCCCCGGTTGGGGAGCTGCATCTCTCATGCTGCAACTAGGTGTTTGCATGCCACAACTAAAGATCTGCTTGCTGCAGCAAAGATCCTGTGTGCTGCAGCCGAGAGGCAGTGCAGCCAAATAAATAAATATTAAAACACAAGTCTGGAGAAAAAAATGAGTAAAGGAACATAATTGTTTCAAGAACTATATGACTCAGATGTGAATAGTATTTTGTTCTTTTTTTTTTTTTTTAAGATTTTTTTTTTTTAATGTGGGCCGTTTTTAAAGTCTTTTTTGAATTTATTAAAGTATTGCTTGTGTTTTATGTTTTGGTTTTTTGGCTATGAGGTATGTGGAATCTAAGCTCCCAGACCAGGGATCAAACCCACACCCCCTGCATTGGATGGCAAAGTCCTAACTGCTGGACCTCCAGGGGAGTCCTGTGAATAGTGTTTATGTAGTCATACTGTAAGCATTACTTTGTGACCAGTTTTTATATATTTGACAGTTTTCACATTGATGAGTTGGTTCACTAGTATACTTCAATGGTGATCAATTAATTTTGCATTTCCTAGTATTGTTATTAATTTATAGATTTAAAGATATTGGATGTGTTTTCATTGTTTATAGTTACCATCTTTACTGATGCTCATTTCTTAGCTTTGACCATTGGGAGCCTCTTCAACCAATTGGCTGTTGGGACTTTTTTGTTGTTGTTGTTATATTGAAGTATAATCTACATATCATAAAATTAGCCCATTTCAAGTGTTCAGTTCAATGATTTTCAATAAATTTACAGAGTTGTACAAATATCACCATGATCCAAATTTAGAACATTTTTATTATTTAAACATTTTTTATTTGGCCTTACCACTTAGCATGTGGGATCTCAGACCCCTATACAGGGATTGAACCCAGGCCCCAGCAGTGAAAGCACTGGGTCCTAACCATTGGACCACCAGAGAATCCCCAAGAATACTTTTATCACCAAAAAAAGGTTCTCTTTGCCTATCTGCAAGTCAATCCACGTTCCCATTCCTAGTCCCCAAGCAACCACTAACCTTGCTATCTTTGTAGATTTGCCTTTTGTGAATATTTCATATTAAGTAGACTAATACAGTACGTGATCTTTTCTATGTGACTTTTTTCACTTAGCATGATGTTTTTGAGGTTCATCCATGTTGTAGATTGTATCTGAACTTTAACCAACTGATGGATGTTTAGATTGTTTCCACTCTTTGGTGATTATGAAGTCATCTATGAATATTCATATATTGTGTGGATTTATGTTTTTATTTCTCTTGGGTAGATATGTGGAATACTGCTGGATCATATAGTAAATTTATGTTTAACTTTTAAAGAAACTGCCACACTATTTCCCAAAGTGATTACAGCATTTTTCTTACCAGCAATTGGTGTGTTCCTTTTTTACCATATTCATACTTGTTATTGTCTGTCATTTTTAGAATAACCATCCTAGTGGGTGAGAAGTATCTCGTCATGTAATAGTTTTGATTTGTGTTTCCCTAATGATAATGATGTTAAGCATCTTTTCATGTGCTTATTAGCTGTTCATATTTTTGGGGGCAAAATATCTGGTGAAATATTTTGCCCATTTTTACATTGGTTTGCCTTTATTATGGAGTGGTAAGTGTTTTCAGTATATCATGGGCACAAGTCCTTTATCAGAAGTATTATTTGTAAATATTTTCTCTCAATTTGTGGCTTGGCTTGTCATTTTCTAAAAAATTTCTTTTGAAGTGCAGATATTTTTAATTTTGATGAAGTTCAATTTATCAATTTTCTTTTATGTTGGGATCATATCTAAGAACTCTTTTTACTTAACCACAAACCACAAAGTTTTTCTCTTAGGTTTTTTTCTAAAAGTGTTATAGTTTTAGCTCTTACAGCTAGGTCTGTGAGCCATTTGGAATTTTTGGTGTGTGTATGGTGTAGGTAAAAGTCTAAATTCATCTTTTTTCTTGAGGATATAAAATTTTCCCAGTACTGTTTCTTGAAAAGACTGTCTTTTCCTCATTGAACTGCAGTGGCACCTTGTTGAAAATCAGTAATCATAAAGGTAATCCTGAGTCATTTTGACATTTAAATCTTTTTTTGAGAGAGAGATGTTGAGAGTACTATGAATATAAATACATAGTAAGGGTACTTGAAGCAAATTTTCCAAACTGTTGACAGTGGTTACCTCTTTGGAAGAGATTGGAAATATCAAAAGGATGGGGATATCACTTTGAATTTTTTAAGGTGAGATTGTGTGAAGAGAATGAGAAGGCAAACCACAGACTAGAAGAAAAATAATTTGCAAATTATATATCTGATATTTGATACAAATATCAAAATATACAAAGAACCCTTAAAACCACCTTTAAAATGGTTTTAATGTGGAGAAAAGACCTGAGCAGACACCTTGCCAGAGAAGTTATACAGATGGCAAGTAATCATTTGAAAAGATAAAGTTCAACGTCATAGATCACTAAGGAATTGCCAATTAAAACTACTATGAGGTGCCACTGCACGCCTATTAGAATGGCAAAAATCCAAACCACTGACAGCACCAAATGCTGGTGAGCATGGCAGGCATCAGGAACTCTAATTCATTGCTGGTGGGAATGCAAAATGGTACAGCTACTTTAGAAGACAGTTTGGCAGTTTCTCAAAGAACTAGATATGCTCTTATCATGTAATCCAGCAATCACAGTTCTTGGTGTTTACCCAAATGATTGAAAACATATGTCTACACAAAAACGTGTACACAGATGTTTATAACGTCTTTATTCGTAATTGCCAAAACTTGGAAGCAGCCAAGATGTCCTTCAGTAAAAGAATGGATAAATAAACTGTAAAAAAGAGAAAGATTGTGTTCAGATTGTGTAATTCAGGAAACAAAAACATTTAGGATATCTCTCTTAGCATTTTAGTAATCAAAAAGTAATTTAGGAGAGTTATTCATATATGACATCCATTGTGTAGATTTTAGAGGTTTATAAGACAAAAAATAACAATAAAAAATTTTACCATAAGAGTTTTTTACTTGAATACTGAATTGAGAATGACTTAGTCTAATTTTATGTTGCCATTCTCAATTTTTTTGAAGCTTTGGTTTATTAGTTTGTAATTTTAATGTGGTTTTTCATTGATCTGATAAACTTGTGCTTTATTTATTAACAGATAGAAGACGTAAACCAAAAATTTAGCAATCTAACCAAACTTGAGGAATCTGAATGGCAAAACAATAACAATACAAGCAAAAAAGTTTTTCGGGTAAGTCTGTGGGTTTCTAATATAGACTCTTCTACTCTAAAGAATTTTTATTTTCCAGCTTCAAAAACATTTAGCTTCAGTTTTTTTTATCATTTTATAAAATAAGTTTCATATATTGCTTACAATGTCATGATTGTCTTTGAAGAAAGAATAAGGAAATGAACAACATAAAATTCATGATGGTTATTTCTGGAGGGAGCAATGATAGGGGCTGTGATGGAATTGGGGCACCCCGAGAGCTTCTGAGGTGCTCAATAGTGGGTATGTGTGTGTGTGTTTTATTCTTTAAATTGTGTTTATACATAGTAGAAGTAAATTATTTATATAATGCTTAGTATGCGCCAGATGTTGTTCCAGGTACTTAACGTGTTTTAACTCATTTAATCCTCAACAGTCCTATTGAGGTGGTACTGTTATCTGGGATGTGAGGCCCAGAATAGATTAAGTTACTTGCCCAAGGTGGAGCTAGGTTTCAGGCCAGACTTGCTCATTCCAGAATCCCTGTTTTTATGCAGTACACTGGATTGTGTGTCTCTTTTGAGTGATATATTTCAAAATGAAAGAATATTAAATAGAAAAGAGGAGCAATGACTCTTTAGAATGTCTATCTTTTTCCCTACATTTTATTTTGTAACATTTCCTATTACTTTTCTCTGTGAAATTCACTTTATCATGATAGATTCCAGTGTTATATATTTGTAGATTTTTTTCCCTAGTAATGTTTGTTTATTTGGCTGTACTGGGTCTTCATTGCTTTGTGAACTTTTCTCTAGTTGTGGTGAATGGAGCACTACTCTAGTTGCAGTGTGCTGCTTTCTCTTGTTGCGGAGCACAGGCCCTAGGATATGTGGGTGGGCTTCAATAGTTATGGCACATGGTCTCAATAGTGGTGGCTTCCAGGCTCTAGAGCACAGGCTCAGTAGTTGTGGCGCACAAGCATAGTTGCTCCATGGCATGTGGGATCTTCCCGGATCAGAGGTCGAACCTGTGTCTCCTCCGTTGGCAGGCGGATTCTTTACCACTGAGCCCCAGGGAAACCTGCTGCTGCTAAGTCACTTCAGTCGTGTCCAATTCTCTGTGACCCCATAGACGGCAGCCCACCAGGCTCCCCCGTCCCTGGGATACTAAAGGCAAGAATACTGGAGTGGGTTGCCATTGCCTTCTCTGAGGGAAGCCTTCTAGTAATGTTTTAAACTCATTGGTTCAGATGAGCACTTCTTAAACCTCCAGTTTTCCTTTTAGATTTTAGAAAAATGCCTGTGGCTATAAAATTAGACTTCTAGATTGGTACTTTATTATGCTGTGTAGTCTAGATAAAAAACTGTTTTGACTCCTTAGGAATTTAAGATATTAGAGTATTAAAGAAAGCTTTTAATAAAATTATTTTGCTAATTGTTATGACAAGGGCTCTAAGGACACTGACAAAATTAAACAAATGAGTTTTAAATGTACTGAACAATGAAGGATGCTTGAATATTTTGAAGCCACTGTGGATATTTCTTATTGAGTACTTAGTCCTTGAAACATCAGTATCACCAGTGATGCAAATCATGGCTGTAGCAATATGGCAATATAGCAGAGCCTTGTAATTCTGCATTTTATCACCAGGTGTCTCTCTCCTCCTGCTTTATTTATAAGCTACTGTTAAGCTATGGAACAAATAAGATTTATCTTTTACCTATACTTTGATACCATTCCCTTCTGATTCCTATTTATTGACTTCTCATGTCATCACTTAGCCTTGTTTTCTACCTTTCCCTCTTTTTTCCATCTGTTTTTAGATATGTTTAGGTGTCTTATCTTTGTTTATGTTAGAAAAAACAAAAACAGCTAAACCTATGAGGTCCACATCTCCCTCTAATTATCTGTACCTTCCCTTTCTCATTCCCGTTTCTTTCTTCCCAGTCACAAAGTTCCCTATACTCTGTCTTTACTATTTTGATTCCCATTTACCTCTCCAGCACACTGCCATTCAGCTTCACCATCTCCAGGCCTCTAGAACAGTTATAACCAAGGTTATTGACCCACTAGTTCTGCAGTTATTAGACACTTAATTATAAAATCTAGTCCCTCTGCATTATTAAATACAGTCTGCTTCCTCTTTCTTGAAATTATTTTCCACTGATCTTCCTCCTACCTCTATCCATTCTTCGGTCATGTTTGCAAGTTTCTGTTTCCACTTGTCCCTTAAGTGTTTGTGATGCTCAAGTTTCTACTCCAACTCTCTTCCCTCCTTCCACTTTCTTCATGTGCAGTAGTACCCACCCTGCAGTGATTCCCAAATCTATATTTCAAACTACACTTACTGCTGACACAGTAATACTTAAAGTATTAAGATATATATAAGCTATATATCCCAAACTGAAATCATCTGCACACACATATGTTTCCCTGTTCCAGAGAATGGTGTTACTATCCCTCCAGGGGTCTAAGATGGAAACCTGGTTATCTTCTGTGATCCGTTCTGCTTTTCACCATTTCACCCCTGCATGTCTAAAAGATTGCTAAGCCCTCTCAATTCTTCCTCTTAAACAGCTCTTGAATCTGTTTACTTTTTTCCGTTTTTTCCCCTCCTTAACCTTAACTACTAGCATCTTTTTCCGGTATCACTGCAGTAGTCTCCTTCCTAACTGGCTTGTAACCCTCCAGTCCGTTCTCCAGGCTGGACACAGAGTGAGTGACCTTTCTAAAAGACCTATCTAAAAAGCATTTGATAATGCTCACCTCCTGCTTAAAACTCATCAGCAATCTCTATTCTTTTGTC